CTAGACTCAGAGAAGTTAAATAACTTGCCCAAGATCACACAGCTAATGAGTGGTGGAGCCACGATTTCAGCCCAAGCTTTTGAGACTGAAACTATTGTTTTTGTCATATCGAACCATTTTCTACATGACCCACACATAAAGCCCTCCAGGATTCCCAACAATTTCCTCAGAAAACAAAGAATACATTGATACTAACTTTTCTCCTTTTCACTTGGGAATGAGGAAATAATCAATAATCAATTTCCCATTATTTGCTTATTGAGTGCTGGCCGACATAAACTGCACTGTGTCATCTGCTTTAGGAGAAACAAAACAAAGATCACAAAAAAAAAGGCCTATAATTTCAAGAAGGTGTGTCTAGTTGGGCAAAGAACTCCAAGACACATGTAATAAAGATTATGACCCTAATTATTTGAGAGCCCAGTTCCTGTAGTTCTTAATGACATTAATAGTGAGCATGTGTGCTAGGGACTTTGAGTGCTTTGTCATCCTCAGAAAAAAACCCTCTGGAGTGGGAACTACTATGATCACCATTTTTTTTCTTTTTTTTTTGAGATGGGGTCTCACTGTGTCGCCCAGACTATAGTGCAGTGGCGCGATCTCGGCTCACTGCAACCTCTGCCTCCCAGGTTCAAGTGATTCTCCTGCTTCAGCCTACCAAGCTGAATAACAGTTACCCGCCACCATGCCCAGCTAATTTTTGTATTTTTAGTAGAGACAGGGTTTCACCATGTTGGTCAGGTTGGTCTCGAACTCTGACCTCAGGTGATCCGCCTGCCTTAGCCTCCCAAAGTGCTGGGATTACAGGTGTGAGCCACTGCACCCGTCCTGATCACCACTTTTGAGAAGAGGAAACTAAGGCTGAGAGAGAGACAAGTAAATTGTCCCTGGTTTTTCCGGCTGCTCAGTGGCTGAGCTGGGTTTTGAATTCAGCAGCATTTCATTGCTAATCTTCATTTGGCTTTATTCAAGCATACAGTTTCTTGAGTCAGAGACATCTAAATTGCCTCCCTCCTGTGGATTTTGAAAAAACCAAGGCATGTAATACAGTTATGCTACAAAGTCATATTTGCTGGACACTTTACTGTGCTAGGAATTTTATTTGCAGTATTCTCACAGCAACCCCATGAAACTGGCTATTGTTACTACTCCTGTTTCTGTGAGGCTTAAACTTTGTCATGAGGCTGGTTCCAACACTGTCTACTCAACAAATGTGGCAAGTAAGTCCTCCAGGTTTCCACAATCAGAAAGCGGATCTAGTACTCACATCCCAGTTTAGGCAAAGTTTTTTCTGTTTGTATTTTTGAGATGAAGTCTTGCTCTGTCACCCAGGATGGAGTACAGTGGCACGATCTCAGCTCACTGCAACCTTCGCCTCCCAGGTTCAAGCAATTCTCCTGCCTCAGCCTCCCATGTTGCTGGGATTATAGGCATCTGCCACAACGTCTGGCTAATTTTTGTGTTTTTTAGTGGAGACAGGGTTTCACCATGTTGGCCAGCCTGGTCTTGAACTCCTGACCTCAAGTGATCCGCCTGCCTCATCCTTCCAAAGTGCTGGAGTTACAGGTGTGAGCCATCATGCCAGGCCTAAGCAGTTTTAAGCACAAAACTATATTACTATTGCATATACTTGAAAGTGTTTTTTTATTTTCCAGTACAAAGAAACCAGCCCTTGAACTCCTCCAGGCTCCTCCACCCCACCCTCATTATACATGTGGACACAGATGTCTGAACACACACACACATGTTGTCATGGGTGGTCCTTTGGTATGAGGGCTGAAGTATAATTATCCATTCCAGGACTTGGTAAGATTTCCCAGAACAAAACAGAGGGCCTGAGCCTGTCTCAGTAATGATGGCAGGCATTTATGAGGCATTTCAAGATCCCTCATTAGTAATTCCTGACAAGATCCCTGTCCGGATGACTCACAGAGGCTAAGTAGTGAGTGAAGGATGCAGACAAATGAGAAATAGTGAATTCCTGGAAGCGGGATCAGAAATAGTCATTTTGAATTTAACCATACTTCTTAAGGACAGGTATGGATTGGGGTCGATGAAGTTTCAAAGAACTAGTCTTGTCTTCCTCTGCAATCCAGTCTAAAAATTACTGGGGATTTTCTCCACTGAACATGAGAAACCAATATCCCTGAAACAGGAATTTTCTTTTTGGCCATTAGGTCATTAATGATTGCCCATATATTTAAACATCTGTTTAGAGTATGTAAAACAATATAGCTTGAAACTCTTAGAAAAATCTAGCAAATCTGAAATTATTTCCTCTTCTCCTTGTGCATACCTGCCAAAAGAGAACGAAAAGAAAGAATAATTGAGAAAATTACTCAGTAGTTGAAATAACAATATTCGCTGCGTTCAAGCACCTCACCAGAATCAAGGTACTCAGTGGTGAATAACATAGACCTTCTGTTTAGAGCTACTTTTTTTTTTTTCCTTTTTTGACAGAGTCTCACTGTGTTGCCTAGGCTGGAGTGCAGTGGCACGATCTCGACTCACTGTAACCTCCGCCTCCCAGGTTCAAGCGATTCTCCTGCCTCAGCCTTCTGAGTAGCTGGGATTATAGGCATGCACAATTACACCTGGCTAATTTTTGTATTTTTGGTAGAGATGGGCTTTCACCATGCTGGCCAGGCTGGTCTCGAACTCCTGACCTCAGGTGATCCGCTTGCCTTGGCCTCCCAAAGCCCTGGGATTACAGGCATGAGCCACCACACTTGGCCAGAGCTATTATTTTTCACCACCATCAGTACATAAAACGTTTGCCTCACACTGCCCCACACGTACTGATATGGTAGGCATTCTGATCCCACCCACTTTCCTCTTGGTGATAATTCTCATTTAAGAAATACTTCCAATATTCTGAGACACTCTGGTTTAAGAAAAAGTGACATAACACAGCATGATGTATATGGGTGTATTATTTAGGGCCCAGCCTAGAATCAGAAAATATTGGGTCTGAATCCCACCTGAGCCAATAGTAAGGTCTGTGACATTGGGCAAATTATTTAGCTCTGTAAGAGTCAAGGGTTTTTTTGTCTGCTTGTCTTTGATTATTTTTTGTTTTTTATTTTATTTCATGTTATTGACATTGGGCTGAGATGAGAACTAAATGGAAAAATTGATGTAAAATGGCTAGCTCAGTGCCTGACTTATCATAAGCCCTAGAAAGCTTTCATGAGAATATTATATAACACATGGAATCTATATACTATATGCAATCTATACCATATTACATGTATTTAGTGTATATTGCATATAACATAATCTATAGTGTATGCTGTATCATATATACCATATAATGTATATGTAAATATGTATAAGATTCATAAAGTTTATATCAATAGCTATTATTTTTATTAACATAAACAGTCATTAACCCCTCCAGACAAATCAGAAATCATGGTGTTCAAGCTCAAGTTGGACTGCAAAAGATTTTTTGTTTTGTTTTGTTTTGTTTTGTTTTTTGAGACGGAGTCTCGCTCTGGCTCCCAGGCTGGAGTGCAGTGGTGCGATCCCAGCTCACTGCAAGCTCCGCCTACCGGGTTCACGCCATTCTCCAGCCTCAGCCTCCCGAGTAGCTGGGACCACAGGCGCCTGCCACCACGCCCGGCTAATTTTTTGTATTTTTACAAAAATTTAACATGGGGTTTCGCCGTGTTAGCCAGGATGGTCTCGATCTCCTGACCTCGTGATCCGCCCGCCTTGGCCTCCCAAAGTGCTGGGATTACAGGTGTGAGCCAAGGCGCCCATCCGCAAAAGATTTTTAAGAAACAAACTAGAGGCTTACAAAAGAATTTATCAGGGAAGGATTACCAACACTGGGGGCAAAAATGACCGAGACACGTGACTGAAAAGCAGGGCGAGGAAAGAGAATGTCCCTCCGCTCCTCCCTGACTAGTGGTAGTTTTGTACTGGATCAGGTTGAAAGGATTCCAGCCACTTTAAAACAATCAACAAAAGTCTCCAGCTTCTCTTCCTGAATTAGCAAAGCGAGTTCTACTCTTGCTGGCCGCGATGACTCTAGAAATTGTGTATGTTTGTCACTGGAGCTGCCTAGGACGCACCTTGGGGGAGGGGGGCAGTATTGGGGACGGTGGTTTCGAGCTCTGTGTGCCCCTCCTTTGCACAAGGTAGTCGGTGTACAAGAACAGAGACGGGCGGTGGACATACGGGAGGTGGCCCAGCCTGAATTCAAGCAACACTGGTGCAAGCCAAGCTCTCAAGCTTCATTTCCTAACTTCCTAAAGAAGTAACAACAGCAACTAATTTTTATTGACTGTTGACTATGGACAAGGCTTCGTTGTTGCCGCTTTACGTGCATTAATTCATTTAACCTGCAAAACAACCAAACATGAAGCGGCAGGAAGGAAATTCTACAAACTCCCTTCTTGCTCAAGTTAAGAAAGTCTCTTCTTTTGGTGCATTTCAGTAAGACTCAAATCCTCCCCACCCTGGGAGGAGCAGAAAGCCAAACTTCCTCCAAAAAAAAGAAGAAGAAAAAAACACACACACTTCAGTCGAGGCTGGGGGGATCTAGCTCCCCGGGAGGCGCGCGGGCTCCCCGGGCCACTGGCAGACGCCAGCAGCTTTTCTGGGCCCGCACTCGGGGACCTCACCCGCCCGGCATCGCGATTGTGCAAGCGCAGGGCGGCAACCACGGCCGCCGCTCCCGGCTCCTGCCAGTCAGGGGAGGGCAGGGAGGCGCGTTCGGCGCACACCCGGTGAACTCCGGGCTTCGCGTGCCTTCCCGGGGGTTATCTCCGGGGTGGAGTCTGCCGCCCCCACCCCACCTCCCGCGCCTGGCGAACAGAGCCCCGGTCACCTGAGGCCCGGACGCCCTCGCTCACCTCGCTGACTCCATCCTCCTTCCACCCCCATCCTCTGGGTCCTGCGTCCCTCGGAGCCTGGCCAGCCGGGGGCCACTCCGCCCTCCTCTGCGTGCTCATTGGCCACCCAGGGCATGCCCGGTCTCCATAAATGCATGGTCCCCGGACATAGGAACATGGAGAGGGACAGGAGGAAACGCGGTACCAGCAGCATCTCATCTACTCTCCTTGACACCCCCGCCCCGTGGCTCCAGCCAGACCCTAGAGCTCAGCCTTGCAGACCAACAGGAGGACTCCCAGCGTTCCCTTTTCAAGAGGTCCCCAGACCCCGGCTGCCCTCTTCCAGCGCCTGTGGCTAGCGCAGGGAGGCACCAGTGCTCTGAGGCTGTCGCGTGGTGCAGCGTCGAGCATCCTTGCCGAGGTCCTTTCTGCTGCCTGTCCCGCCTCACCTGGCTCCATCACACCAACTGGCCCTCTTTGCCTCCCTCTCCCAGAATCTTTAAGCTCCGAATCCCACCAGCGCCTCCTACCAACCTCGCCCCACCCCGTCCCCGTGCCTTCCCGCGCTCCGGTGACCCCCGCTGCCATGAGCTCCCCCATCAGCAAGAGCCGTTCGCTTGCCGCCTTCCTGCAGCAGCTGCGCAGTCCGAGGCAGCCCCCGAGACCAGTGACATCTACGGCGTACACGTCCCCTCAGCCGCGAGAGGTGCCAGTCTGCCCGCTGACAGCTGGTGGCGAGACTCAGAACGCGGCCGCCCTGCCGGGCCCCACCAGCTGGCCACTGCTGGGTAGCCTGCTGCAGATTCTCTGGAAAGGGGGGCTCAAGAAACAGCACGACACCCTGGTAAATACCTTTTCGCGCCCCTGACTCCCTTTCTCCTCCCTGTTCCGCCCTCCCAGTGGCGCTCCAAACCCTCCCCGACGTGCGCGGCGCACGGTGCGCTTCGGCGTCTGGGCAGTGAGGGACCCCGTTTCCCGAGGAGGGAGGAGGCGGGAAGAGGGAAAGCGCTGCGGCCACGGCGGAGGATGCGCGCTGACACCGCGCTGTGCCCGGCCGGCTGCAGGTGGAGTACCACAAGAAGTACGGCAAGATTTTCCGCATGAAGTTGGGTTCCTTTGAGTCGGTGCACCTGGGCTCGCCATGCCTGCTGGAAGCGCTGTACCGCACCGAGAGCGCGTACCCGCAGCGGCTGGAGATCAAACCGTGGAAGGCCTATCGCGATTACCGCAAAGAAGGTTACGGGCTGCTAATCCTGTGAGTCCAATCCGAGGGACCTGGGCATGCGGCCAGGCCTGATGAGCCTGACGGCGCCTGGAAATTGTGAAGAGACGGAGTTAGAGTTCCCTGGGGTTGGATGCTTCTTATGTAGGGCGGATACCAAAGCCCCTCTCCGGTGCCATTGCAACCCTGAGCTCTTGTATAGATTAGAGTCGGTCCACAGAAAAGCTGTGCTGTGCACCGGGCACCTGCGTTCTCTCTGGCAACAGAGCAGGGCCACACCCTCCCATCAAAGAAAGGCCAAAACAGGGTTGTACAAACTGTGGTGTTCAGACTCTTGGGCAGGATGAGGTTCTGAAGTCAGCGTACCACGCAAACCTCTTATACAAACAAAATTGTCCTTTAAAATCCCTGAAATACCTTGTAAGCTCAAGAGCCAGGAGTTAACCTCTTTGGCTTTTGACAGTGGCCTTTTCTGCAGAGGACTGGGGGGCATGCCTTATTTCTACTTGTAAAGGTGGAATAAGGAGGGATATCAAAGTTGTGTTTTAGGTCGATAAATGCTACAATGGGATGTGATTCTTCTGCTTTTTAGTTGTTACCATTTAACAAGTTAGCACCTTTATTTACCCCCAAATTGTAATGCCTAATAGTTACATTTTCCAGGATATAATGACGGGAATTGAAAACCCTGTTAATGCACGGTGCATCACAGACTGTGTGGTCTGCTATGGGGCAGATGCATACAAGTGCACGTTCACAAAAGGCTTTTTATTACTCCAGTGAATCTCTGGCTATATGTTATCATTTGGAGGCGATAGTAAAATTCTAAATATGAGATATTTTGTACATATGAAGCGCACACCAATGAGTTGAAAGAAGACAAGATTCTTTCCTCAAACAGATCTGAGTTGCTGGTGATGGGGTGTTCGCGTGCCTCCTTTTACGGCTAGGAATTGGCCCCAGGCCTTCCAGCCCCACTCCCTGCAAGGACACCTCAAAACCCCTGAACCCAAATTATCTGGACTTCAACTTTCTGGTGCAATCTTTGACTAGGTGCTTTTACATCCTATTGTCAAACTATTGTCAAACTGCGATCACTATTTTATCCCAAATAGTCTAATGCTAATACTCTCTGGATATTTCTCGGCATGATTCTCAGTGTTTATTTGACTTTATGGTTCCTGAAGTTGCAGCTGGGGGGTATTTCTGCATCTCCCTTCTTTTCTTTTCAGTGTGCTCTAAATAATTCCTGCTTCTCTCACAGGGAAGGGGAAGACTGGCAGCGGGTCCGGAGTGCCTTTCAGAAGAAACTAATGAAACCAGTGGAAGTGATGAAGCTGGACAACAAAATCAATGAGGTTTGTAGGCTGGGGCCAGCTTTCCTGGGGCTCCTGGGGACGTAGGGATATTGGTGGAGCTTCAAGTGACAGTTACAAAATACAAAGGAAAAAAGCATGCAATTCGGGTGATTCAAAGGGGGGTCTTCTCTTTCTCTCCATTCCTTCCTACAACCTCCTCCCCACCAAACCCTTATTTCTCCCCCCTTCGCCCTCTTTTAAAGTCATATCACAGTGAGGGAGCAATGGGGAGCATGGACTTTAGTATTCTACAGCCTTGGATTTGAGCCCCAGCCTTCCACTCCCTGACCATGAGACCTGGCTATACCATTTACCTTCCCTAAGCCTCAGTTTCCCCATCTACAAAATGGGAGTAACAGCTCCTGCTGCACGGGTTTGCTGTGAGAGTTAAATGAGATTCCCTTGTAAAGTTCTTAAGTAGTGATATTTGAGCTAGGTTTTGCAGGAGTCTGAAGGCAGAGAAGGTGGGGAAAGGCAGAGACAATAGCCTTCTGAAAACAGGGAGGCATGACATGACATGGTGTGTTCAGAGAATCAGTCATTTAGTGTAGCTGATGTGAGGCTTTCTCTGAAATGATACTGGACAGGTCTTAACAATATTTTTGTATCATACTAAAGTATTTGGACATCGCCCCTTTGCCAGCACAGAGTCAAAGGGGGTTTTAAGCATATAGTAATCTCTTTTTACTTCTGTTCACTTTGGATGTTTATTTTGAACTGGATGTGTCCCCAGATGGGATCACATAGGTGAAGGATTGCAAACTTAGAACCTTCCAGGGGCCACGGGACTAATATAAAATAATAAGGCAGACCCAGTAAAAATTTCAGGAGACGTGATAGTGCGCGCCCCTCCTAGGAGGGACAGCAGCCCCAGTTCCAGCAAATGATTGCCATGTTGGAACGCAGACCTCGTGTCTCTAAGTCTCGTAATTATTATTTACATTGTTAAACTAGTAGTGGTAAATCCACATGTTCATACGAAACCTCTTGATTTTTTAATGGTAACAAATTCAAAGAACTTTAAAAGGCACTACATGGGCAAATTAAACATGCAACGTAAGTCCACACATGTGGACTCTATGGTCACACCAGCTCATGGCAGGCTCCAGGATGGCAACTTATCAGCTCTGTGTGCATAAGTGAGTGACTTGGCCTCTTTAAGCCTCAGCTTTCTCATCTGTTACATGGGAAATGAGTAGTGACAGTACCTACTACCTCATGGGGTTGTGGGAGGATCAGCCAATACACTTTGTACAGTGTTTGGTACCATGTGGATCTCATTAAATGTGAGACATTCGTTATTGAAAACTCTGGTTTATGAAACTGGCATCCAAAGGCCTTATGTGACTGTCCCAAGGTCATAGACTACTTAGGGAAGGAGCTGCATTCAGAACTGGTGGATCTTCTGGTTCCAAGCTCAACATTCTTAACCACCAACCAATAAAGAGACGTTCGCTTGCCCAGATGTGGAAAGGCACACCTCAGGATAGCTGCCGCATCACAGTCCTTGAGATGCTGGGCCAACACGGACGCTTGGCTGATTCCTTTGTGGTTTACTCCCCCATTCTGATCAGAAAAACAAAAACAAAAACAAAAATGTTTTCCTTTTCATAAATTGCCAGAATTATTTTTAGATCAAAAGCTGAAACTTAAGCTTCAGGGTGACTTCAAGAAATAACCCAGGACGAGGTCGCTAGGGGATGAGGTGGATTCCCAGGGAGAATATATAATTAGTGTGACTTCAGGATGAATAACATTATGGCCAGTGAATAGTCGATGTAGCGAGACCCGAAGTTAGCTCAGTGAGCTTTAAACTTCTGTTTTCCTTCTACGGCTTTAAAATGTGTCTTTTGCGGTTGTTTTCTTTGAAGGTCTTGGCTGATTTTATGGGCAGAATAGATGAGCTCTGTGATGAAAGAGGCCACATTGAAGATTTGTACAGCGAACTGAACAAATGGTCGTTTGAAAGTAAGTTGTCGTCATAGTCTTGCTCGTTGATTTTGCAGGTGATTTTACAGATAAAACACGGCTCTTTCGACAACTCTTTTGTAAACATGCATCATTGCTGCCTAGGGAAAGGCCAGAGCAGCCGTTTTCATGCTTCTTTTAGGTGCTTAAGCTATGCCTTGAACTATGGATTGTTTATGGAGTCATACAACAAACATTTGTTGAACACTTGCTGTGTGTCTGGCACTGTGCTAGGTACTAGGGATATGACAATGAACGAAACACATAACCTTCCTGCCCTTGGGGAACTTCTATGCTAGACAAGGTGATAGTCAACAAGTAAACACATTTTCAAATACACTCTTCCAGGGAGTAAAAGAAAACAGAAAGGCAGTTAAGAAAGAGCATGAAAGGTAGGCACAGTGGCTCATGCCTGTAATCCCAGGACTCTGGGAGGCTGAGGTGGGCAGATCGCTTGAGGCCAGCCCAGGATTCTGAGACCAGCTTGGGCAACACAGCAAAAACTTGTCTCTACAAAAAATACAAAAATTAGTCGGGATTGGCGGCACAGGCCTGCAGTCCCAGCTACTCAGGAGGCTAAGGTGGGAGGATTGCTTGACCCCGGGAGGTTGAAGCTTAAGTGAGCCATGATTGCACCACTGCATTACTGTCTGGGTGACGGTGTGAGACCCCATCTCCAGCGAGAGAGAGAGAGACAGAGACAGAGAGACAGAGAAAGAAGGGAGGGAGGGAGGCAGGGAGGGAGGGAGGGAGGAAGGAAGGAAGGAAGGAAGGAAGGAAACAGAGAAAGAGGAAAGAAAAAAGAAAAGAAAGAAGAAAAGAAAGACAGAAAGAAATAACATGAAAGAATGAAAGAGGGGCAAGTCCTTTTTAGTAAGGAGGTAAGTCCTAAAGGAAGGGAAGGAGCAAATCACGAGGGTACCCATGGAGGACTGTTCCAGGCAGCAGAGACAGGAAGTGCAAATGCCGGGAGGGGGAAGCATGAGCACCGTGTTTGGGGAACTGCAATGTGCTGGTGTGAGTGGATCACAATGAACAAGCCGGGAGGAAGGGGAGCCTGTGAAAGATGAGGTCAAAAAGAAGACAGGCGTCCAATAGGGCACAGCTCATAGGTCCTGGCAAGACTTTACTCCTCGTCTGACTCAGATGAGGCAAGTAAGGGAGGGAGGACATGACCACTTTCTTCAAAGATTACTCTGGAAATAAAGGGCAGACCTCACTGCCCATGGGGGTGCAGGCAGGAGAGCAGACAGCTGTGATCAGGTGGGAGAGCGCCTGGCTGAGGACCTTCAGGGCTGTGGGAGAATCTGAGAGGGCCACCGAAGCTGGACATGGCCAGGGGTCCCTTCACGGAGATGGTGCCCCTCGGCTAAGACCTGATGGTTGAGTAGGAGTTCACCAGGTGAAAAGGGAGGAAGGAGGGTGTCCCTGCAGAAGTGCAGAATGACAAGCGTATCCTGTAACAGAGGCTGGGAGAGGGCCGGCAACCAGCTCATGGAGAGCTGTATGAGCAGGAGTTTGAATTTGAGCCTGTAAGTAACTGGGAGCTGTGGATTGTATTCAGCAGCAGTGCGATATGGGCAGATTTGCTGGGAGGATCACTGTGGCTGCTGTTGCGAGAGAGAGAAGGAAAACCTGTAACACTTTCATAAATTCAAGGTCAGAAATACGGCCATAAATAGATAAATATAAAAATAAGTAACTTTTTTATTACTTATTTGAGACAGACTCTCTGTCCCCAGGCTGGAGTGCAGTGGTGTGATCTTGGCTCACTGCAACCTCCACCTCCTGAGTTCAAGCAATTCTCCTGCCTCAGACTCCTGAGTAGCTGGGACTACAGGTGCACGCCACCATGCTTGGCTGATTTTTGTATTTTTTAGTAGAGATGGGGTTTCACCATGTTGCCCAGCTGGTCTCCAACACCTGACCTGTGATCCGCCTACCTCGGCCTTCCAAAGTGCTGGGATTACAGGCGTGAGACACCACGCCTAGCTAACTTTTGTGCTTTTTAGTAGAGATGGGGTTTTGCCACCGCTTGGTCTCAAACTCCTGAGCTCAGATGATGTTCCCGCCCCGACCTCTGAGAGTACGGGGATTACAGACATGAGCCATCGTGCCCCTCAGAGTAACTAATTATTTTTAAAGTTCATGTACCACCCAGAGCTGTCTCACGTATTCCCAGTGGTGTACCTGGCAACCACTGTGGAACACAAATGTGGCGAAACCTTGAAAGGTTGGGAGGAAATGAGTTTGGAAAACACAGATGTAGTTGGAAAAGCTGTATGTGGGTGCTGACTAAGCTAATTGACTCTCACTCCTCAGGTTTATGATTTTAGGCCAATTGTTTACCTTTTTAATCCTAGTTTCCCACTTTATAAGTCAAGAGCCAATTATCCACCACTAAAAAGGTGGTTGCAGTAATCCTGTATAATTTTTTTTTCCAGACTATGTCACCGAGGCTAGGGTGCAGTGGCCAGTGGTACGATCTTGGCTCACTGCAACCTCGGCCTCCTGGGCCCAAGAGATCCTCCCACCTCAGCCTCCAGAGTAACTGGAACTACAGGCACATGTAGCCATGCCTGGCTATTTTTTTTATTTTTATTTTTTTGTAGAGACAGGATTTTGCCATGTTGCCCAGGCTGTTCTCGAACTCCTGGGCTCAAGCAATCTGCCTGCCCCAGCCTCCTAAAGTGTTGAGATTACAGATGTGAACCACCATGCTTGGCCCTGTGTCCTTTTTTTTTTTTTTTAAAAAAAAAAAAAAATGGTTACAAGAGATGATTTTTAGGACAATGGGGAACATTTTAAAATGGGACACAGTCGATTTTTTATGGAATGGTTGCTAATGTTCTCAGGGATGTTAATGACATTGTGGTTATGTAGGAGAATGCCTTATTCTTAGGACATTACTGCTAAAATATTTAATGGTGAAGTGTCCTGAGAGCTCAAAATTATTTTCAAATGGTTCAGCACACACAGCCACATATACATTTGTATGCATACATACACACAAAGAGAAAGAAATGGCAGCAAGATGTTGATGAGTCCGGACGATACAGGTCTTCATTTTACCATTCCTTCAACTTTTCTGGAGGTAAAGTGTTTTGAAATGAAGAGTTGAGAATTTTATTTTTAAAAAGGTTCCTTCTAAATAAGATGATGAAATGGAAGAAAAAATAAAACCCTATGTGAAGTGCTAGTCCAGTACCTGGCACGTAATGGGTGCTTAGAACATAATTATTCCCTTCCCTTCTCCTCCTCTGGTGAGTAGCTTCCAATTCATTATGTCAGGCAGTAGAATCCAATAAGTGACTCTAAAAACACAGCTGAGTTAGAGGCATAGCGTAGACCTGACCCTGCAGCACCTTTGCTAGGGCCCCTGGATCTCCTGTGTGACTTACATGACTCAGGACAGTGGATCTCTGATCAGCACATTCTAAGGTGATGAGTCATTGGGCCTGGAGATAATTTCTAGAAAAAGAGAGTGATTGTGTCCCCTTTCTCTCAGACTCGTTGCTTTTCCTCGATGTTCTTGCACTGTTGCCTTTTCTCAGAAAATCCCACACTTTTAAGAGGCATGGAATTGAGTCTTTAACAGCCAGCTAAACATAGACTCCAGCATTGCTGTGATTGTGTAAAGTGATGATTATTTTAAATGACAGGTATCTGCCTCGTGTTATATGAGAAGAGATTTGGGCTTCTCCAAAAGAATGCAGGGGATGAAGCTATGAACTTCATCATGGCCATCAAAACAGTAAGCCGTCTCTTTAAGAGAGCCGTTTTCTTGATTGATGTTTTACAGATCGATTTTTACAGAACTTCACAGTGTTTCCCAAAAACTGGCATACACACGTATTTTATTTCCGTAGTTAAGTGTTCATTTTAATGTGCCTTATATATTTTAGTATATTGATGTGCATATATGCAGCTGTCTCCAACCTTTTTGGCACCAGGGACCGGTTTCATGGAAGACGGTTTTTCCATGGACAGGGCAGGGTGGTGGGGCGGGGGAGGGAGGATAATTTAAGTGCACTACATTTTACTCTGCACTTTATTTCTATTATTATTACTCACCATAATGTGGAATCAGTGGGAGCCCTGAGCTTGTTTTCCTGCAACGAGAAGGTCCCATCTGGGAGTGACGGGAGACAGTGACAGAAGGTCCCATCTGGGAGTGACGGGAGACAGTGACAGAAGGTCCCATCTGGGAGTGATGGGAGACAGTGACAGACCATCAGTCACTAGATTCTCCTAAGGAGTGTGGAACCCAGATCCCTCGCATAGGCAATTCACAGTAGGCTTCACACTCCTATAAGAATCTAACACAGCCATTGATCTGACAGGAGGCAGAGCCCAGGTGGTAATGTTGCTGGCCCGCTGATCACCTCCTGCTGTGCAGCCAAGTTCCTAACGGGCCACTGACCAGTATTGGTTCATGGCCTGGGGGTTGGGGACCCCTGCATATATGCCCGTAACATAAAGAAGCACATTAAATCCATTATTTTTTTGATTAGGCAAGGTTAAAATAGCTATTTTAATTAAAGATCAGTTGATTTAAAATACTTTTTAAAAGGAACCCAAAATTTTTCAGATTGTACCGTTTTGAATAGTTTGGGTGGTGTGTAGATAGGATAAACACTGAAATTGGTTTGGAAATCACTGAAGCTTGGAAATTATTAGAAATTGAAGTGAATATGAAAGTTATAGTTTTTCCTCTTTTTTTGTTTACAATTCAGTCATCAGATTGCAATTTTTTATCAAACATATCCGGTGGAAAGTCATCCCCCACATTACCTTCAATATTGAAAGGAGGTGGAGGTGGGGTGTGGGCATTGCTCCCAGGACCAGTGCAGAGAGAGCCGGGGGCGTCCTTGTAATTCCAGCCTTTTAAAAAGTGCAGGGTGCTGTGGTTTAGAATGTTCCTCTTTCAGAACAAACGTTGTCTTTGAGAGAAGGAGAATTCAGAATAAAAAGGTGCTTGCATTTCTCTCAGATGATGAGCACGTTTGGGAGAATGATGGTCACTCCAGTCGAGTTGCACAAGAGCCTCAACACCAAGGTCTGGCAGGACCACACTCTGGCCTGGGACACCATTTTCAAATCAGGTAAAGGGCCGCCCTTCACATCCAGCCAGACCCAGCCCGGCATCCCTGTGTCTGGAGCTTCAGAGAGAAGGTCTGGAGTGATCTCCAGGGCCTCATCACCACGTTTAGGTTTTGCAAACACAGGTGTTTTGGGATTGCCCCGGCATACACAAATTCTAAGTAACAAGCTTTCTGTAGTCTTCTTTGGGAATTAAGAGTGGTTAAAAGTAAAATCTGGCGGGGCATAGTGACTCCCCCGCATAATCCCAGCGCTTTGGGTGGCCCAGGCGAGCAGATCACTTGAGGCCAGGAGTTTGAGAGCAGCCCGGCCAACATGGTAAAACCCAGTCTCTACTACCAATACAAAAATTAGCTGGGAGTGGTGGCGGGCACCTGTAATCCCAGCTACTCAGGAGGCTGAGGCAGGAAAATTGCTTGAACCTGGGAAGCGGAGGTGGCAGGGAGCCTAGACTGCGCCACTGCACTCCAACTTGGGAGACAGAGTGAGACTCCATCTCAAAAACAGAAAAAGTAAAATTTATGGAGTCAGGGAACCCTGAGTTCAAGTTGAGCTCTGTCACTGGTTGTGGTGGCTTGGCCAAATGTGCAATCACCTTTTCATCTTCAGTTGCCTTGTCTCTAAAATGGACTAATAATAATAATAAATAATCATAATAATAAGAGTACCTACCTCAATGTAACTGTTTCTGGGTCTAATACAGATTATAATTAACATAAAAACCTGGCATATCACAGACTCTCAGTGGACTAGAGCTGTTTCTGCTACATGACAAAGGGGAATATTTGATGCTAGGCATTGTTCACTTATACATTTATTTAATCCTCACAACACACCTATAAGGTAGGTCCTTTTGTTAGCCCTGAGAGGGGTACCTGAGACACATAAAAGTTAGCAAACGTGGCCAGGCGCCGTGACTCATGTCTGTAATCCCAGCACATTGGGAGGCCGAGGCGGGCGGATCTCAAAGTCAGGAGATTGAGACCATCCTGGCTAACACAGTGAAACCCCGTCTCTACTAAAAATACAAAAAAAAAAAAAAAATACCTGAGAGTAGTGGCGGGCACTGTAGTCCCAACTACTCTGGAAGCTGAGGCAGGAGAATGGCATGAACCCGGGAGGCGGAGCTTGCCGTGAGCCAAAATCGCGCCACTGCACTCCAGCCTGGGCGACAGAGTGAGACTCCATCTCAAAAAAAAAAAAAGAAGTTAGCAAACGTTCCCAAGATTGCATGCCAGGTGATGGCAAAGCCAAGGTTTGAAGCCAGACAGAGGGCTTCCTGGACTCGAACTCTAACTGCTGTGCCATATGTGATCACCACTATTATTACCATTTCCATTATTATAATACGCCTGGTGGTTGTTTGCTTCATAGTGAGGAAGGTGCACGCCTAGATTTTATGTTGTAAATATTAGAAATTTTTACCATTATTGTCAACACGGACGAGCAGTGTATTTGTGCATATGTATGTGGGGTATGTGTGCTTAGTAATATCTGGGTCCAAGATGGAGTCTGAAAGTGAACCCAAATCCTACCTTCTTTTACGCTTATTTCTCCCAAGATCTAAACCCTTACTACTCAAAACTATGACCTGCAGCACAGTGGCATCAGCATCACCTAGAAGCTTATTAGAAATGCAGAGTTCCAGGCCTACCCAAGCCCTGATTCAGATTCTGCATTTTGAGAAGATGCCTAGGTGATTCCTATCCACACTGAAGTTTGAGAAGCCTCACTCATGTGGGTATTGAAAGATCCTTGCCGACTTAACAAGAAGGCAATAATTAGTGTGTGTAACAAATTGTCAGTGTTCCTGAAAAGACTATTTAGATATTGCAAGAAGGAGTTTGGACTGAGATTTTCTTTTGTGATTTTCCTCATCCTCATTTTCAACTGATTTCCTCTCTTTCTTCTCTGCTCTAATAGTCAAATCTTGTGTTGACAACCGGTTAGAGAAGTACTCTCAGCAGCCTAGTGCAGATTTCCTTTGTGACATTTATCACCAGAATCGGCTTTCAAAGAAAGAATTGTATGCTGCTGTCACCGAGCTCCAGCTGGCTGCAGTGGAAACGGTAAGGGTGGGCTGGATTTGAGTTTGCTAAATGAACAGTCTGTACAATTTTTAGATGACAGATTTTAAATAGTAATTCATCTCATTCATTTCACCGGGATTCACTGAGCACCAACTTCACAAAAATGAAAAGTCTCATACTAGATGCCACGGTGCATCCATGCATGGCCTTTTGTGCGTAAACACTGGGTAGGAGGAGACTTCGTGTGCCCCAGTGACAAAAACCCAGAGTAGGATGTGATGAGTGCCGTGATGTCCATGCACGCTGCTGCGGGAATTCAGGAGCAGTAAAGTTCCCTGCCCTGGCAAGATACAGAATCCAGATTTTTCCAAATTGGATGTATTTTGTTCGGTTGTACATGTTACCCCAAAGTGCCTAACTGTGGCTGTTAATTACTGTAAAAAAAAAACAAAAGGCATACTGTCTTTCAAGCCAATAATATTTTTATCGCTTAGAATTGTAAACAAAGTCCCAAAGAGTCTGGGTCAAGTGGATTTTAACTGAAACGAAACAGCTCATTGTAAAGACCAAAATTCTGTCTCTGATGTGGCCGATACTCCCTAGGGGATAGTAGATACTAAGTGCAGACCAACCCTGCCATAGGCATTCAGGTAGGTTGAATTGACCTGGATACTGGTTTGAGCTGTGATGCGAGTGACGCACACTAACCTCCTCCTAAGTGCAACATTTATTTCATGCATCTTAAAGTTCCTAAGCAAAATGTAAAGCAGTTGTTTATTTTCCATGTGTTTCCCCTTCTGTGCTGTTTCTTGCCTGAAGTAAAGGTAGGTTTTCTATATCAGGAGATAGCAAGGTTCTCATTTCTCCTCATGCTCCAGAAGGCTGTTGAAAGTGGGAATCCATCCTCGCTCACTTTCCTATTGAACTACTTACCCTGGGAGGCTCCTTACAGCGGAGAAAGTAAAATGTCACCCATTATTCCTTTATATTTTCAACTGGAATGTGACCTCTCTGAGAGCAATGGCTTAAGGTTGTCCACTGCTGTGATTCCAGGACATAGAACAGTACTTGGCATCTAGTAGTGGCTGATAGATACTTGTTGAATAAATGAATTCAGGAACTATTGAGCACCTACTATATGCCTGGGACTGTTCCAGGTTCTTGAGAGACCACCATGAACCAGAGACAAGGGTTCCCACTCTCATGGAACTTGTATACAAGTGGGGAAGACAGACAGTAGCCATGTAAACAAACAGATGTGGTCACTTTAGATAGTGGTATGGATTGCAGAGGACGCCATCAGGATGGTGTAACATAGAGAGGTGGAGATGATTAAAGGGGAGCCCTGTCTGAGAAAGCAGTACTGGAACTGACTCTGGAATGATGAGAAGAGCCAGCCACGGAAAGACCTGGTGGAAGAGCACTGCAGGTAGAGGAAACGGCCCATGCAAAGGCCCTGGGGCAGAAAGAGGGATGGAGCTGGAGAACTAGTAAATGTGGTCAGAGCTGAGACTGGAGAATTCGATGAGCCTTGTTAGTCAGAGCCTTGTGAGCCCAACCTGGGTAAGGCATTAGATTTGATTGCACCTGTGATGGGAAGCTCTTGCAGTATTTTAAACAAGGGAATCACCTGATCATTTATGGTTTTGAAAGTGGGCTCTGGCTGGTGGATGGAGAATGATGAACTTAGCCAAGAGAGTGGGTGCAGCAGGCCAGTCAGTGAGCTCGGTCTGTTCCACGGAGGTCAGTCCAGGACAGTTTGTGCCCCCGAGGTTTTCCAGGCCACTTCCCCTCAAGTCTGCTGCTGCAGCTTAGCCCCTGCAGTTTTCCCTGCAGGCTCAGACTGTCTTACATGGCTTTGGTAAAAGCTACAGTTATCTGCCTTTTGGAAAGTCTATTTGGTACTTGTGGTGAGGGACTCACTGATATGGTTAAATCCATTTCTTTTTTGGTCCTGGCTATTCTGAAAGTCACATTTGGAAAATCAGAGCCATTTGAAAGTGTATTTAATTTCATGGCTACACCCTCTTCCTGTTTTGTAAATTAGACTCTTACAATCATGGCGTCTCTAGTTGATTTGCAGCCGAGGCTGCCAGTCCTCTGACAGGAAGAAGCCTGCCTTGGAGGCATCTTCCCAAAAATAATAAATAACCATCGTCTCTGAATGGTCGTGCACTTTGCTCATTTGTGTGAGTGGCACATGGCACTTAGCAACAGCGCCTTCATGTCTGCGGAGGTGGACACAATGATCATTTGCAGGGAATATTTGGCTTAAATTAGCGAAGTATGGCCTAAAAATAACTACATATGACTGCTAGTGGTGAATATTATGTAGCTTAAAGCTACACTGGCTGTTTCCACCAATATTTTTTCTCCAGCCATTGCCTGTGCAGAGAAAATAAAAGATGCCACTTAAAAGGACGTAGGCCTTTGACAGAAACCGTAGCTGGAGTACTCAACTCAATGCTTGAATTTCTTATTTTGGTGTTGGCACCCTCGTATGAGGGCTCTTTACATGTGGTTGAAACCCCGAGTGTAGACAGTGCCTGTTTATTTTTGTGGTAACTTTTTAGGGTGTGGCCAAAGGAACTTTTAAATTTCAGAAATGCCGTTTCTTGTCCATTTCCACTATAACATTTTCTGAAAGCCTCTCGTTAGCAACACCCTGAGGATCACCATCCCTCTCTGTTTACTCCATTTTTATATCAATGTTTTTTGTATCAAGCAACTTTTAATTAAATGTTTATTTTGAGATCATTGTAGATTCACATTCAGTTCTAAGAAAAAATAGAGAGGGATCCCTTGCATCCGTTACCCAGGTTTCCCCTAATAGTAACATCCTGTCTAACAAGAAAACGTTGTCACAATCCCAAAATTGGCATTGATTTAACCCACTAATATTCTCATTTCACCAGTTTTACGTGTACTCATTTGCGTTCGAACAATTATTGTGTCAAACCGTATTTTAGGTCAGGCGCAGTGGCTCACGCCTGTAATCCCAGCACTTTGGGAGGCCAAGGCGGGTGGATCACCTGATGTCAGAAGTCCAAGACCAGCCTGGCCAACATGGTGAAACCCTATCTCTACTAAAAATACAAAAATTAGCCAGGCATGGTGGTGGACACCTGTAGTCCCAGCTGCTCAGGAGGCTGAGGCAAGGAGAATCGCTTGAACCCAGGAGGCGGAGGTTGCAGTGAGCTGACCTGGTACCGCTGCACTCCAGCCTGGGCAAGAGTGAGACTCCATCTCAAAAAAAAAACAAAAACAAAAACAAAAAAACTGTATTTAAATGTTCTAAAGCAGCTGATTAAAGGATTATACTTTGGTTTCCTCAGTAATTAATTTAAAATATGTCCTTAATTGATATGTTTTATGAAATAAATCTGCTTTTTTATATATTGTATTTGTCTAAAGGCATAGCTATAAGGACGCATGAAGAAGCTTCACTAATATATTTGCAGAATAAGGTGGTAGGCATCACCTTTTTTCAGCTAATAGTGGTTTAATGCAGTTATTTACAAAAACTCAAGTTTATGTCCATTTGGCTTGCAGACAGCAAACAGTCTAATGTGGATTCTCTACAATTTATCCCGTAATCCAAAAGTGCAACAAAAGCTTTTTAAGGAAATTCAAAGTGTATTACCTGAGAATCAGGTGCCACGGGCAGAAGATTTGAGGAATATGCCATATTTAAAAGCCTGTCTGAAAGAATCTATGAGGTAAGAGCCTATCTCTGAGCCAATATAAATATATTAGAACACTGTTCTCTTAATTACAAAGCAAGGGGTCCCCTACTCATTTACAGCTTCCCCTAGCTAATTAGCAACAATTATCACACTGCAAAAAAATCTTTGGAGCCATATTTCTTTTCTGGCACTCATTTCCTAAATCATTTGGGCAAATTCTATTAAATCTTGGAAAGTCAGTGCCCTCCCCTTTAATTCGATAATCTTGCTACTCTAATGAACGCTGTAAGCACTAATTAAGATAGGGGCATGATTGAAGGCTATGAGATGGAAGCTCACAAAAGAGCTGTATTGTTACGTAATAGGACGTACAGACAGCTTTGTTTTTGAGCCTCCGGTATTAAACATTTTTTGGAAATTCTTTTCACATCCTTTTGGGAAAACAAAACTCACAACATTTTAGGATTAGAAGGATACTGTCAACTTTGTCAAGAGTACATAGAAGAAACATAGAACAAACATCACGCTTCAAGGGCTAGCATAGAAACATACAAATTGAAGTCTGGAGTGAAGTACAGAGAAAACGAATGTTAACTGCTTACTAAACACCCTTGCACTGGGGTTTTAACTAACTCAAGAAGATGAGAGGAACGAGAGATACAATTATTGAGAAGAAAAAGACAACTTCTTTAGGAAGATCTGTGATTATGCTGCCTTTCTGAGTATGCACTTGGGCTGCACTTATTTAATCCAATCTGCATTCCCACTGACACTTCAGAGAGAACTTAGACTGTGCTCGTGCTCACCTTGACATCTTTGATTTTATGTTTTCAGGCTTACACCGAGTGTACCATTTACAACTCGGACTCTTGACAAGGCAACAGTTCTGGGTGAATATGCTTTACCCAAAGGAGTAAGTCGAATTTGTATATTCTACACCTTACAAAACCTTGGAAGATACACTTTGCAAATATTCGTCAGATCTTGACTTTGCACTGGAAAATATTCATTTTGGAAATACAGAGATGGTAGTGAATATTGCACAGTATAGAATTAGAACTAATGGCTATGGAGACAGAGACCTGGATTCAGTCTCACCTTTATCTGTGTTGTCTTGAGTGAGTTACATAGTCTCTGTGAGCCTCAACTTCATCCGTAAAAGGGGTTTAATAACAGAATCTGCCGTACGGGGTTGCTGTGAGTATTGTGCACAATTTTAAAGCCCTTTGCCTATTTATTACCTGGCACATTTTAAGCACTCCGTGCATATTGGCAATCATCATTATTATACATTTGTGGATTTGGCTTTCGATTTGTAAGGTGACAACTTTTGTAAATGCTGTCATTCAAAGGTATCTTCTGGTTATTTTAAATACTATGTGTTTCTGTGTGTTTTTAGACAGTGCTGATGCTAAATACCCAGGTGCTGGGATCCGATGAAGACAATTTTGAAGATTCAAGTCAGTTTAGACCTGAACGTTGGCTTCAGGAGAAGGAAAAAATTAATCCCTTTGCGCATCTTCCATTTGGCATTGGAAAAAGAATGTGCATTGGTCGCCGATTAGCCGAGCTTCAACTGCATTTGGCTCTTTGTTGGGTAAAACCTTTACCGGTTTCTGCAATTATGTTCTGTGCTATTTCACAAGGCAGAAGAAGAGAGGGGTAATTCTGTTTTTGTGTGCCTGCGCATTGCAGATTGTCCGCAAATATGACATCCAGGCCACAGACAACGAGCCTGTTGAGATGCTACACTCAGGCACCCTGGTGCCCAGCCGGGAGCTCCCCATCGTGTTTTTCCAGCGATAAGATGCCTCAGGTGAGCATCTAGGCGATTCCTTATCCTCTGCAAGGTAGGGAGAATGACGAGGGATGAGCTATGCTGGGAAGTCAGCCAGGCTGGGGTTTGAATCCCAGCTCACCTCTAATTTGCTGGGTGACCTTGAGCAGTTCCCTAAACTCTCTGCTTCCTTTTTTTTTTTTTTTTTTAATTTGTAAAATGATGACCCAAAGAGTGCGTATCACAAAAATTGAATGTGAATACCAAATACTTATTCCTGAGCCTGGCGTCAATTCAGTGTTCAGTAAATGCTAGCAGCTGTTCATGGTTTTTGCATGTGAACAGTAAGGCTTGGCAAACTTTTTCTGTGAAGGGCCAGTTGGCAAATACTTTAGGTTTTGTGGACCAAACAGTCTTTGTCACATCCTCTTAATACTACCTTGGAGCATGAAAGCAGCCACAGACAATTTGTAAACTAATGAGTGAGCTGATGTTCTAGCTTTCTATTGCTCCCACCACAAATTACTAAAATTTAGTGAGTCCAACGACACAGATCTATTATCTTACAGTTCTGTAGATCAGAAGTCTGATGAGGCTCTTCCAGGCTAAAATTATCATGTCGTCGGGGCTCTTTCTGGAGGTTCTAGAGGAGGGTCTATTCTCTTGCTAGTTTGGGTTGTTGGCAGAATTTAATTCTTCATGGTTACAGGACTGACGTCTTTATTTTTTTTGCTGCTGTCAGCTGAAGGCTATACTCAACTTTGAGAAATTTCCCATATTCCTTGGTTCATGAAACCTTCCCCATCTGAAAGCCAGTAGCAACAGTCGGTTGAGTCCCTCTCATGCTCTGAATCTCTCTTTCTTCTTATATTGCTTCTGTCTGACAAGATATTATCCAGGATCATGTCTCCCATCTCAAAGTGCATAAATTTAGTTTCATCTCGAAAGCCCTTTTTTTCATGTAAGGTAGGATATTCACGTGTTCCAGGGATTTACAGCAGTCACATTTTAGGAGGACCGTTATTCTGCCTACAAAGGCTGTGTTCTGATAAATTTTACAAAACACGAGCGGTAGACTTTATTTAGCCCTAGGGTCTAGGTTTATGTTATGAAATGACTTGTACGATAAGTGTATGTATTTATCAGCCTGTATTGAACACAATAGAATATTTTTTCTGCAGTATGCCATTCAATGCTTTTTCTGACAGTAGAGGAGTTCTCATGTTCCCTTCACAACTTTTGCCATATCCATATACCAACCGACTGCTATTTATTTCAATACTTACTGAGTTATTTCCTTTAAATTAACATAAGCCTAATATTATATGTTGGCCTTGTGCTGAGTAATAATTTCCTTAATGAAATTAAGAGTTAGTAAGTCTAGTTATGTTCTCCTAATAGGCATTAAAATGAATTCAAAACTATTGAAGTGATCAAAAGTTAGCCTAAGAAAGCTCTTTTTTTTTTTTTTTTTTTTTGAGACGGAGTCTCACACTGTCCCCCAGGCTGGAGTGCTGTGGTGCAATCTCGGCTCACTGCAACCTCCGCCTCCCAGGTTCACACCATTCTTCTGCCTCAGCCTCCCGAGTAGCTGGGATTACAGGCGCCCGCCATCATGCCCGGCTAATTTTTTGTATTTTTAGTAGAGATGGGGTTTCATTATGTTGGCCAGACTGGTCTCGAATCCTGACCTCGTGATCCACCCGCCTTGGCCTCCCAAAGTGCTGGGATTACAAGCGTGAGCCACCACCCCGGTGGTGGAACTAAGACATTTGTAACATATGGCTTTAGAGAGTAACATGTCAGTGTTTAAACCCAGATTCTATCATTTTGTTCTGTTAGCAGCACCTCCTGGGATTTGCCTGGAGAGAAAATATTGTTTGCCAATGGTAAGTTCAGGAGCATTTGCTAATTGGTAGATTATTTAGAGAAACATGCAATTACAGATAAAATTTCTGAACAAGGCCCAAATGAATACATTATTATTCCTCTACCAAGTGTCTGATGCTGTTATGAAATTTGTCCAATTCTGAGCATCCCAACCAACAGAATTGAATCAAGTAGGGTAAGGAAAGTATTCTGGCTTAGTGGTGAGACCCCAGTCTTCAGCAAAACAGCATGCATGTTTATCACAGTAAGCCGCACCTTTGGCAAAAGCCCATGGCAATTTAAGTTTTAGCTTTTTTTTTTTTTTTTTTGGCTAATAATTTGTCTTGTTTAAATACACTTCTTTGATATATAATTAGGGTGTACCTTTTTTTTTTTCAGATTTTTTTTTTTTTTAACCAAGACCAAAACAGCCATTTCGACTTTTCTGCAAAAATGGTGCTTACAGCTTCTGCATTACCGGAACGCACACTTCAAAAGCCCACACCATACAATAGCTTGTAAAGAATATTTAGGCCCAGGTGTTGATATTTTTTCTTCTGCAAAATTGTTCCAGAAGCTATACTGTCTTTCTAGACCGTGGTATTTGTTAACGTCATATCCAACTCAGGGAAGCGGACTGAGTGCTGGGATTCAAGGCATTCTACAGGGTTCACTGCTGGTTTACACTTCACCTGCGTCAGCGCCGTCTTCAGGTGCTTAGAATGGCCTGGGAGCCTGTTCTCTCTCGCATCTTCCATGACATGAAAGGGAGGCTGGCACCTGTCAGTCAGGTAGAGGTTACGAACCGTTTCAGCCCCTGCCTACCACATTCACTGTCTGAATCTTTAATTCCCAAGAATAAGTTTACATTTCACAATGAAAGACCTACAACAGCTAAATTTTCTGGGGCTGGGAGTAATACTGACAATCCATTTACTGTAGCTCTGCTTTAATGTACTACTTAGGGAAATGCCTGCTTAATAATGTAAGCCAAGCTAAATGATCGTTAAAGTGATCAGGCCTCCCATGAAATTGCGTTCTTCCTGAATTGAAATAGAAACATGATTGGGAAACTACAGAACACCTCTATTTTTAAAAGGACTTTAATGAAGTCAGACATCTTATAAGACTAGTGGTTCACTGGGGCATCATTTTGTTAGAGGACCTTAAAATTCTTTATTTTTTTAATATGATTCCTTTATGGCATTAGGGTAAGGATGAAGCAACAATTTTTAAATTGTGTGTGTGCATATGAAGCACAGACGTGCATGTGTGTGTGTGCCTGTGTGTGTCTGTGTATGTGTGTGTGTTCTAATGGTAATTTGCCTCAGTCATTTTTTTTAATATTTGCAGTACTTGATTTAGGATCTATGGTGGAGGGCAATGTTTTGAGGTTTAGTCACAGCTTTAAAATATTCAGTGTGACTTTAATATTATAAAATGATTTTCCATGCCATAATTTTTCTATTAAATAGGACAATCATAAAGCATGCAAAAGTTAGAGATCTGCTATATAACATTTGTTTTGTGATTTGAACTCCTAGGAAAAATATGATTTCATAAATGTAAAATGCATAGAAATGCATGTAATACTTGTAAGACTTAAAAATTGTGTTTATAGATGGTTTATTTGTGCATATTTTTACTACTGCCTTTCCTAAATGCATACTGTATATAATTCTGTATATTTGATAAATATTTCTTCCTACATTATATTTTTAGAATGTTTCAGAAATATACATTTATGTCTTTATATTGTAATCAATGTGTACATATCTAGGTATATGCTTTCTCTCTGCCGTGAAATTATTTTTAGAATTATAAACTCATGTCTTATCAGATTTCATCTGTATACCTTCAAATTCTCTGAAAGTAAAAATAAAAGTTTTTAAATATTTGAGAGACTTCCCCTCTTTATTGCCTTTGTTACAGCAAAATGAAAACAAATTCAAACTTTACTGGTAAAAAATTTTCTCATATGGCCTATAAGCCCTACATCACAAAATTTACCCTTAGATAAATCTAGACTTTAATAGCAGTTTTATTGAAAGTGTACTCTTGGAATTGCAAAATAACTTGCCATTTTTTTTTGCTGCTTAAATATTTCTCAAGTCCAGTTACTTCTATTTCTACCCCCTTTCCAATCACACAATCAACCACACGGTGGTTACGTGATGGGAAGCGGGGTAGAATAGCCTAGGAGCCTGTTCTCTGTCGCATCTTCCATGACACGAAAGGGAGGCTCGCACTTGTTAGTCAGGTAGAGGTTACGAACCGTTTCAGCCCCTGCCTACCACATTCAGTGTTTGAATCTTTAATTCCCAAGAATAAGTTTGCATTTCACAATGAAAGACCTACAACAGGCAAATTTTCCGTGGCTGGGAATAATACTGACAATCTCTTGCCTGGACCACTAATATCTCTAGCCTCTGCAGGAGCTCCCAGCTGATCTCAATCCTCTCTTGCTTCATTCCCCTCTGTTCTTTGCACACTTGCCTTATTGGTGTTTTCAAAACCCAAACCTGATCATGTCTCATCCTGCCTCTAGGGCTTCCCCAGTTCCTCTTACGTAAAGATCCAATTCTACAATCCGCACTTCCAGACCCTGTCAACTGAGGTCCCGCTGATCCCCCAGGCCTCAGCCCCCATCGTCCACCCCAGAGGCCTCTGGACCCAGGCCACAGTGGCTTCTGCCAGTTTCTGCTGTTCCTTAAATGCTGACAAGAGGGTTCCTCCCGCCGCCTCCCTCCCCACATGCTCTTTCTCTGCCTGTTCTTCTCCTACGCACCATCTAGGTCCATCCAGCTTTCACTTCCTGAAGGAAATCTTCCTTGATGACTTAGATCCCACAGGGGCTGTCCCCGGCACTGGGATTCATTAGGGTTGTGATTCTCGAGGAGACCTGTGCGACAATGGGGACAGCAGGATGGGGAAGGGAAAGAAGCCAAACAAGCGTGTGGTTTTGAATGAAGCTCCAGCCCCAGCCTGATCCCTGGGGAGCTCTGGAGTGTACACTGCAGCTCAGTTTGTTCTCCTTGTGCCCAGGGAGCGGGGCTTCCACACTCCTTCAAATCAGGCTGCACCTTGGGGTATAAACTGCCAGATACTTCTAGACTTTACATACCCAGGCAAAATGGCTGTAGTGGCCAGAAGGTAGTCTTTAAAGAAGGCTGCAGGTGCCAGCCATGAGGAGCAAACTATTAAAAACCTGGGCGAAGGGCACAAAGACTGGCAAAAGGGTGTGAGGAGCACAGGGTGGAGCAAGGACCATGTCTGCTACCCCTCACCTCCCTGAGCAGGTTGCCTAGAACTGACACTGACATGGACACTGACATGGCCAATGTGGCCATGATGATAATAATATTTATTGACTGCTCTTGCTGCCTCAGTCTCTCTTCTAAGCACTTGCTACATATGAATTCACAAATCCTTGTGACTGCCCTGTAAGTAGAGGTGATCATTCTTCCCATTTCACACCTGGGGAAACTGAGGCACAGAGGTGCTCAGTAATCCCCTTAGAATCACAATTGGTACATAGGGAAGTCAAGATTCCAACAAAGATAGATTGGTTCCCGGCCCTGTGGAATGCACATCATGTACCGCTCCTACGTAGTTCACCACAATAGCAAGTTTATATGCATTTCTGTGATTATTTGATTGACATTTCCTCCCCTTGTTCTTCCCCAGCCCCTGTACTAGGATATAGACAGCATAAGAGCAGGGATATGGTTATTTCAGTTTGCCCCTATATCCATGATGCTTGGCTTACAGATCTTAATAGGCACTCATTAAATATTTCCTTTTACCTGGTTGCCCTAGTTGTAATGTTTACAACCGCCATTTGGGGTAACCAATAAAGCTAGGCAAATTTCCCAGGACTCATGCCTGCCAAGTTGTAAAACCTCCTCTCCAAGGTCTTCTAGATTACCATGTCATACAGTGCCTGTCCCTGGGTAAATGCTTAGTGACTCAGGGCCGTTGTGATCGTCATCAGTAACACAGCTGCTCAGGGCTCATAGCTTATTATGACACCTGTCCAGTCCCTATTCTGTCTCCCTCAAGGCTGACTCCATATTTTAGCTTTGACAAAATTTCCAGGGATATTTGTGGGAAACCAGTATATAATGATATATATGGAATTCAGTCCAATTGGCTTTTGTGGTGTTCAAATAATTTTTGAGAGAGAGAGGAAGGGAAAAATAAAAAGAGAAAGGAAAAAAAATGAAGGAGGAAATGGAGAGAGCAAAGGAATTCCTCAACGTTTGTAGCAGGGATTCTACAGACCAAGTACTGCTGCCCTGGGGAGTAGGAATTATTTGTGGGGAAACTACTTATGCAGGGGATGGAGTGAGGTTGCATCATATGCACACTTAACCCAGGCACATCCAACCATCCATGCTTGGAGTGGAAAGATGACTATGGAAGGATGTAGCCCAGGTGATTCCAACATCCTCGCTCAATGAGAACAGCAAGATGGGAGATGAGATCCACCTCTTGCCTTATTTCTCATGCACATCTCAAAATGTGAGCTCCTGATGCCCTTGGTGTGGTTCCAGTATCTGAGGACGTGCTTTTTTCACTTGACATGGCCCCTAGACATAAGCCAACTACTTCAGGTTGTTTTCACCCACTGGAGCAGAAAACTGTTCCAACACTGGAAGGAACCTTATGTGGATTAAAACTCATTTATGCCTAGTGTTCCGTTAGTGGAACTCTAAGCTTGTGGGAGTTATTGACATCCTACTGCTCTAGGTCATCGCCAAGGTCTGATTTTTCACACACAAAAAATTTGCAACTTCTGGCATAAATGGGTTAATAAGAGATGAAACTCTGTGTTTATGGTGTACTTTCCAGATAATTGAAGGGATGTAAAGTTTACTGTAACTCTAAGAAATTTTTACCCTGCTTGCTTAACTTTCAAACCTAAATTCCCAATGCATTTTCTTGCCAATGAAACACCTTTCAGTTCCACACCCTTAAACTTCATGCTGATATAGGAGGAAAATCCTAGATTTTATTTTATTTTATTTTTTGAGATGGAATTTCACTCTTTCACCCAGGCTAAAGTGAAGTGGTGTGATCTCGGCTCACTGCAAACTCCAACCCCCAGGTTCAAGCAATTCTCCTGCCTCAGCCTCCCAAGTAGTGGGATTATAAGCACCTCCCACCATGCCCAGATAATGTTAGTATTTTTAATAGAGATGGGGTTTTGCCATGTTGGCCAGGCTGGTCTCGAACTCTGGACCTCAGATAATCCACTCCCAAAGTGCTGGAATTACAGGCGTGAGCCACCGTGCCCGACCCAAAAAACCTAGGTTTTAAAGTTGTTAACCTCACCAGGTTTTAATTCTAGAGGAGCCATTTCCCAGCTGTGTGACATGGGGAGTTTACTTAACCTCTCTGAGCCTTAGCTATTCAATGGACACTAATATACCCGATGCACAAGTGTTCTCATGGAGATTAGAAAATTTGAATTGTACCTAACTCAGTGCTGAGCACAGAGCAGGGATGGTGTCAGAACCCTTATTTCACAATCAAAGAGGCAAAAGTCAAACAGCTCCCTTTACGGGGCAGAACCTGTCAAAAGAAATGTTCTGGGCCCAAATGGGAAAAATGGGAGACAATTACACCATCATGGAAATACAAACACAATCAGTTTTACCTGTTTGTGGAGCAGACCCTAAGAGACTTATGGGAAATTATATTTTTTTAAGTGAAAGCAAGTTTATTAGGAAAGTAAAGGAATAAAGAATAGTTACTCCACAGGGAGAACAATGGAGTGGCATGGGCTGCTTGATTAAGTATACTTACAGTTATTTCTTGATTATATGCTAAACAAGGGGTGGACTATTCATGAGTTTTCCAGGAAAGGGGTGGGTAATTCCCAGAACTGAGAGTTCCTCCCCCTTTTAGATCATATAGGGTAACTTCCTGATGTTGCCATGGCATTTGTAAACTGTCATGGCACTGGTGGGAGTGTCTTGTAGCATGCTAATACAGGAAATTAATTTTCTTTTCTGTTTAGAGTCTTCTTGGGACTGATGGAGAATAACCAGGACAATTAAAAAATACAGTTAACTCCATCAACCCAGTGGTCTCATCATAGGAGATTTTACACTAAATACTGGAAACTACAAATCCACAGATAAAATTTGATGCATTTGGTTTGGTTCAAATCTAGTTGCCAAATGTGATTTTTCTAATCCCATCAATTTTGTGTACTTTTATTTAATTTATTTTTTTGAGTCGTAGTCTTGCTTTCTCACCAGGCTGGAATGCAGTGGCACAATCTCAGCTCACTGCAACCTCCACCTCCCGGGTTAGAGCGATTCTCCTGCCTCAGCCTCCCAAGTAGCTGGGACTATAGGCACGTGCCACCACATCCAGCTAATTTTTTGTATTTTTAGTAGAGATGGAGTTTCACCATGTTGGCCAGGATAGTCTCGATCTCTTGACCTTGTGATCTGCCCACCTCAGTCTCCCAAAGTGCTGAGATTACAGGCATGTTGTCAGAAAGAATTTATTCTTTATAATTTATGCCTATTTATGTAGTGCGAGCTTGCAGATTTCTTACATTTTTGAATGGGTTATAATTTTTACACTGTCATTATTTGTTTGGATGTTCAGATTGTCCCAGATTTGATTAATGGGAGCCTCTTTCAATAGGTTCCTGTGCATTGTTGTTGTTTTTTTTTTTTGTTTTTTTGTTTGTTTGTTTGCTTTTGACATGTGGTTATTTTTTAGCACTTCCTTGCTTTCTGGAACACCCTAAGACATTCCAGGCTGATCTTGTACTTTACCTGTCCCACCCTGGAATCATCTATTTCTTCAAGAAGTCCTAGTTTGTTTGAGTAGAAAAGAGCATTTAGAAATTAAGATTTTGGCCCCTGGTACTCG